GTTTTGTTTTCATGCGGATTGCATGCACCGATTCATTCATTCATTCATTTAAAGTTAAATATTTGATTATTTTCAAGTAGAAATAAAAGTAAACCTTAACAATCATGAAATTAAAAAGGAAATCCGTAAACTTTTTCCCTAAAAAAAACAAACATTTTCAATGATTATTATTATTATTACTGTTTTGTTTAATGAGAATGGGATATAAGTAGTATAATTGAAAGTAAAATAATGAAATAAGAAGATTATATTTGATATAATCGCTCTTCTGTATATATTTCTTTATGGTTATTCATTGACCTATGAAACATAAATTTTTTTCCACCGAATTATTTTATTCAATTAATTAATAATGATAGAGAAATGATTGTTGATCGAGGGACTGAAATAAAACATAGAATCTTTAGATTTGCTAAATAACCTTTGAGAAGAATGTATTTCAAAATTCTGATCTATAACATTTTGTATTTTTCCTTTGTTGATATTAAGCGCTGTAATTGATCGGTCTCTATTGATACATATTCATCCTAAGAAGATTGTACTGATATAATAATTTAGTTACATTTTCTTAATATCACCGATAGGAAAACATAAATCATCTGGATTCAGTAGTTTAGTGGAAAACGCTTAGTGGATGAAGAGAAAGACACAGGGTTTGAGTTTCAATATAGACATCAACATTAATATGTAGATATAATCGGATGAGGAAACCCAAATAGGACGATACAAAGATCCTTGATTCTAGTGTTAACCATCATTCAACTCTGTCTAATATGCTCGTGATTTATTGTCATTATTGCAACAATCTGTCCAGAATACGCCTAAAAGAGACCAATCGATTCTAATCTTTAAAATCAACCTGTATAAATAAATTAGTGCTGATTTTGTTATGATGACTAATAGTGAATCTTTATTTTATGTATTATTCTACTCAAAAGTTATTAGTTATTTAAATAAGACAAAGGAAAATTACCTTACAATATCACTTTTTCTTAATGTCGGTTTTGATCAATTTCTAAACTAATGATAACTCTATCGTTTTTCCTTAATTCACTTCGACGTATCTAACTTCTGAACTTAATCCTATTTTCCTGTTCCTTTCAATTTTAGCATTCCAGGATAATTAACTAAATCTCTAATGATTATCAAACATTGATATATGGCATATATCTACCAAACAAATGGAAAACTGACCAAACGTACTAGATATAACACAATTACTGAACATTGAAAGCATTACGGATGACCTCAACATTCGACCACCAGAATTGTCTTGAAAATAATGAGCTAAACCTTATGTAAAACAGTTCTAAAACAGTAGATTCCGATTATATAAATAATGACTTATTGAAGTCTTTTAAAAATTTTACCAAACTCACTGCCATATCATATCTCATTGAAAACTACATGAAACTTATTAACCACTTAAATATAGACTAGTAGATTTACTAATCAGATTTTTATGTTTACATAATTTTCATTGTGATATATGAAAAAAAAAAACGAGACTTACCATAACAAGAATGTATGGTTGGTCAGGTAATTTCATTTCGACGTAAATAATGTAACAATAATAGAATCTAATAGAAATGATCTATCTCTTTTATTCTCCTTCATTTATTCTTCACTTCCAGTAGTTTTGTTTTTGTTATTTTCTTTTTTTTTACATCTTTTCTCATATAATCATTCATTTTAGATTCTACAACAATGGTATACAAATAAAATTCTCCTTTCTGATATATATATATATGTTCATCCTTCAGGCTAAAAATCCTGTTACTTCCAGTTGATTAAACTGTAAAGGAATTATTATTGTTGATGATGTGGAAATAAATTAAACTTATTTCTTTTCCTTTTCTGTTTATGTATGTACTTTTTTTGAATAGATTAATTGAATTTAACGTTTATTTTTATAAATTTCACTACTTTTTATTGTCAAGTTTCCTCATTTTTGTTGTTGTTATTGTTGTAACCCATTATGCAAAATACTTAGAAAAGTATAGTATACAATGTTAGTTAGTAATGAATGAGTTCCTTATATGAATTATGTATTGTTACTAAAAACTAGATTAGATTTTAAGACAGTTTGATAATCATAATTACCACAAATAACTTTCTTAGTTAAAGTCAATGAAATATTCTACAAGAATCGTTAAACTTTTAAAAAGTCTAGTTAAATAAAGTGATTTGTTGATAGAAGAATAGTTGGAAGTGTAAATCAATATATGTGAGGTGTGTCTGTATGATATATATATATATATATATATATATATATATATATATATATATATATATATATATATATATATATATATATACCGCAGTACAACGGAAGATGGTCGCGCAATTTAGTGGGTTCGTTGAGGTTAGACATTAACACCATTGAATGCCGTTTCAGTGGTCCACTAGGTTAAGTGTTCACGCGCGAGACTGAAGGCCCTGGGTCTGAGTCTTGCGAGCGGGATCATGGATGCGCACTGCTGAGGAGTCCCACAATAGGACGAAACAGCCGTTCAGTGCTTCCAGGTTTTCAGTGGTGGTCTAACATCAATCGGTTCATGATCTCAATCAAAAAGTTAACAAACTCCATAACCCTTAAACTGATAATGAGTTATTAAGTAGAAAAGTATTCAAATAGTATCAATCATTCTAAAATCAGATATTTAGGTTTAGTCGTTTTAAAAGTATTCAAAAATCAAGATTATTTGAAAGTAGAATTGTTTTCGGTGATGTCATTAACAGAATCTACATTTATTAGTCTGTAATTATTATATTACAATGACCAGATAGGTCGCTTAACGACATCCAACATGTATTACTTGTAAATTTGGAAAGTTGTTTAAGAATAAGATAAGGAATTCCTTTGTGATGTGTCAGGTCTCAATTAATATGATAAAATAAATCACATCGATAATAAGAAAAATTATATATTGAGTTTTTTAATGAGATAATAGTAGTGATAACGTCATAATAATGTTGTGTGAATACAATACTTAATAAGAGAAATGTTGTCTAGATAGTTGTGACAAAAAGATTCATGTGAATTGAGTAAAATGATTGTACAAATTAAGAATGATGTCGATCAGAGAAAAACATGAAAGTTTTATGATGGTAGTTAGTTGTTGAGAATATATAGATTACGTATAGAGTGATTTTTGGCCTTTGAAGCGAACGGTACTGAGTTCGAGTCCCAGAGTGAACATCAACTCTGAGATGCAGGTACATCCAGCTGACGAGTCCCAAGAACGACGAAACGCGCGTTCTGGATTCCACTGCTAGCCACTATCCATCTTTGCTTATAATGCTTGTAAATGAAGGCAATATCGAGGCATACGCACAGTATGCACATATGCCAATAAGAGACTGATCAATTTCAGTCCTAAAACATCAATGGGAAGATTCAAGTGAAACAATATCAACTTAATTTTGACTGTTTAAAATAATAATTGCAAATCAATTAGTCGCTTAAATATATTTAGGTTTCTTCATGTTTTGATTCAAATCTTGTACTGAACACTTATGTTTTGTGATTCATAGTATTTTGTAATTCAAGTATTAATGAGTTCGGTTAAGGTTGAATGCTAAATATTGCAAAGACAATTGAAATATAATCAGAGAAACCTATGTACTTGTATATGAGTAGTATGAACTATATCAAGTCAACACTTATTTGTCAATTATACTTTTATAATAAAGAATAAAATGAACTGATAAAAAGAATTAGTGATTACTATAAGCAAACTAAGCACGAATCAACGCAGTATTATGAATATAATGGACTTTTACATTCTCTCCCTCTTGAGAATAGATAAAAAGAAAATGTGATTAGATATATGGAACAAGAACATGAATACATATCAGTAATTAATCGCATCTATAAAATATAATAATATGGATAGAGACTAAATTTTCAGTTTTTCTACCCTTAAAAACCAATTGATTGGACAATGTAAATAAGTAGACAAATAAATACCATATCAGTTATAATGAAATGAAAGAGTAAATCAGTCTCTGATACTGTATATATATATATATATTTATATTATATATATATATATATATACACACTCAGTGAATGCTAACATCGTACAGGTATTCATATTCATATTTGTACATATCTGACACTTCGTGAATGAATATATACCTCTTATCAATGTAAATAGCATAAGCCTATGGTTTAATCATTAAGAATAAGCAATCAAAACTCATTCCTTTTTATTTTCTACCCAACAAAAGAATTATTCTTTATAAGAGAGAAGAGATATATTTAGTACAGAAATAATCAGTTTACCATTTCATTTGTATATTTAGAAAGACAAACTTCAATTGTGACTACTATTAGAATTCTAACTATTAATGTATGTAAATGTTCTAGTTGTTGTACAAACATAATATTAAGGAATACTAGACGGATTATATGAAAGTGGGGATAGAAATGAAACAAATAGAATAGTAATAAAATTTAAAAGTATTCTCATTTTCATTTGTAGAATTTCACGATTTCTATGTTTCTTCAACTTCATATGACTTGATGGTATAAAGTATAAAAAAATAGAAGAGGGAAAGACCATTAGTAGAAAACATAAATAGACATACAATATTATAACACTTTTCTAAAGGGAAGTTGAACATATTTCTCATTTATTCAGTCCGGTATATAAGATTAACTATTCCACTGTCTAGTTACACACTACTATTAAGTAAATAACTAGAGGGTTCAACCAACAACAACAAAAAAACACACCAGGGAAATGCAATTGTATCACTCATATTTTGTTACTCTGAGTTTTAGAACATAAAAAATATATACATATAGAGAGAAATACACTGAACTGATTACCTCTTAACAGATTAACTTATTGACCAACATAATTAATCCTGTAATTCTTGATCTATTGACTTCTTTCTATCTGATCTTTTCTTTCCTTCAAATTGAAATAGTTCAACTGAGCACATTCAAATAGGCAAGTTGATATATATAATTAGAAGAGAGAAAAAAGATGTTAGACAAATTAACTCATTTTAAAAATTTACTCAATACAGAAGATAACCGATCATCAGATATAATGGATTTATCAAGTAAAATCTCATCGAAAGATTCATGGAGTTTTGATAATCTATTAACATTGAAATTACAACAGTCTAGTTATCATTCATCATCATCATCGTCATCATCATCATTTCTCAATAATAATAATAATAATAATAATAATAATAATAATAGTAATAATGATCATACAAATATAAATGAAAGTAATCAATTATTATCATCAGCTAAATCATTAGCTTATTGTACACCGAATCCAGTTCCAAATTTACCAGAGAATAATCAAGTACATTTTTTAGAATATCGTGGTGCACATTTAGCAACATTTACAGTGAATGGACGTGATTTAATTTGTTTACCACAAGCATTTGAATTATTTTTAAAACATTTAGTTGGTGGATTACATACAGTTTATACAAAATTGAAACGTTTAGATATTATTCCAATTGTATGTAATGTTGAACAAGTACGTATACTAAGAGGTTTAGGTGCAATACAACCAGGTGTTAATCGATGTAAATTAATTGCACCACAAGAATTTGATATACTTTATGCTGATTGTACAAATTCAAGGTAATATAAATTGATTTTTGAAATGAGTACATTTTTCATTCCATATATTTTTATGAATAATGTACATTATATTTTATTAGAGCATACATATGATATCTTTTTTATATACTGATAGCTATTGTTTCATTATATTTTATCAATTTATCCCCTACTCTATATATCGAGATATGCATCATTACTTTACTGAATTTACAAGTAGGTTTTTGGCACGAAATTTTAAGATCAGATTTTAACAATTTTATTAATAACTCATGGATATCATTATATGTTTTAGCAATTAAATTAGTTGAAGTTAGACATTAATACCGTTGGATGCCGGCTCAATGGTGTAGTGGTTAAGTGTTCGCCAGCGAGATCGATAGGTTCTGAATTCGAATCTAGCGGAGTGGAATCGTGGATGGCATTTCTGAGGAGTCCCACAGTAGGACGAAACGGTTGTCCAATTCTTCCAGGTTTTTCATAGTGGTCTAGCTTTAATTGACTGATGAACTCAACTATAATATCCACAAAAAACCCTTCTGATAATAATTAAAGATTGAATTTCAACATCCCATTCTTTGCATAATTTATTATTTGAGAACAGTCAAAAATAAATTTCCTGTTTGAGAGTAATTAGATTCTTTCAGAATAAGATCAATCGTTCTATAACCATTGCGTAAACTTCGTTTATTATAAGAGAACATTTTTTTGGTTTGGTGAATATTAGTCAAAGACAATTTAGGGAAATTATATCATATAAGTAATGACCAACATGGGATGAGATATCATCAAAAATATAATTTAGTTTTCGTCATCTAGTATTCATTGTTCAATGATGTAACTATTGTTAAGTGTCATCACAATACATTCTTTAATCCTTCCTGATTTTCAGTAGTTCCCCTACTAATAATAATGAAAGCAATCTTTATGCTGTCGGATTTATGTTACATTAAGTATATGGAAAAAATCTCATCTCATATATCGTTCATCATACTACAGGCAGTTTTATCTACGTACAGATTCCAGGTAAAGTAACATTATGGGAATGATAGATGTTGATATAGGGTGTATAATAATTATATATGTTACTAAATTGCTAGCTATATTTATTTAGAACTAATAAGTCACTAAGGAGAAAGATTTCTGTCGTTGTAACATCATTTAAACAGAATAAAAGAGACTAGACTAGGTGCGTTGTAAAAAGTCATACTTACATGAGAGAGTACTAGATGAAAGAGTAGTATAGACTATCAGGTGTGTACTGTATGTACTGTTTGATAGATTCATTAAGTTCTCATATAGAATGCATTGGTTTTCAGTTACAAGATGTATTGCTGAATAGATTTTATTGATTAAGAAAACTGATAACGCTTGATAATAATCAATATCTGTCTATAGTTATATCTTCTTAATACAAAGTAAAAGATTCTTTTCAAGATCAACGATGATTTATTCCTGTTTCTCTAATCTTTTTTCGATATATTTTTGTTGTTAGTTATTTATTCAGTCGAATGTTGGTTGTATATAGTATTTGATAAATTAAAGTTTTTTTTAGTGACAAATTTGAAATTACTAACTGGTTTTATGTAGACCACTATTGAAAAGCTGGAAGCACTGGTTGGCCATTTCGTCCTAGTAAAGGATTTCTCAGAAATACGAATCAACTACCTCGTAAGTGAGAATCAAACCCAAGAATATCAGTCACGTATGAAAACGCCTAACTTCTAGATCACTGAGTCAGTATCCAACAAGAAATGTATTATAATACTGACGTCATCACTAATTTAACATCTTTAATTCAAGTATTATTGTTCAATTTATTGACATTAAGATTTTGCAATAATTACTAAATTGATAGTTTACACTAATGAATGTAGTTACTGCAGGTCAGAACGACAGTGATTGCTTTTAAATTTAATGGTCTAAATCAAAAAATGTATCATTAAAAACATCTAGGTTAAAAGTCTTTATTATATCTGTTTGGCTGTTCAGTGCTTCCAAGTTTTCCAAGGTGGTCTAGCTTCAATAGATTCATGAATTCAACTGTTAAATATCTATTTGTATTAGAATCTTTGAAGTTTTAAAAGTGTAAAATTTTTATCTTGTACCTATATGGTTAGGCACTGTGGTTTTAATTGTTTTACAAACTACGTATAATTTCATTGCATGAATTCTGATGGTATATAGGAAAAAGGGAAATGAACAATTATATATTCTGTAGTCTCTGTCACTGATTTATTTTCATTACGTAATGTACATATCTTAATAATTTGTTTAATACAAATAGTTTGTAACAGTCTAGATTATTATGTGAAATTCACTTTTAAAACTAATACTTAACTACCCTATTACTATCTAGCGTTGATCGATTCACAATCATCTCTGACTTCTCTTAAGTATCTTTTTTCGGTTATACATATTTGATCAAAAACTAGAATGAAAATTAAGCAAAACTTATCATCTAACTGATGAAAAAGATAAACTTTAATACTGTCATGTAAGATATTTTACAGTGATATTGACCTATTGTTGAAACCAAGTTGAGTATTGATAATAACATAGTAGTGCCTATATACGATATCTGTTTTCAATAGATTAGTTGAGACATTTCACAGAAAGTTTAAACATGTTATAACTTGTGACCGCCGATTAGAGAGCAGTGACTTATCGATCGGGTCAATGACGCGTAAACCCGTATGAGCAGCCTGGAGTTTAGATTGGCCCTGCTTTTCGCCTACCCCAGCCAGTTAAGATCAGAACACTAATCTCAGTTTCTGCAATATGAATCATTTATTTCAAGCATACTGCGTTTGTATACTAACCAAACAGACCACAACGTACCAATAAAATATGAAACAACATTTGTACAAGAATTAGCCAGATGTGGCTGTAAATGAGGGAGGCAGTGACTAATAGACAAGGAGTAATTCAAGAATGGAAAATCGTATAATAACAGTTTATAGGTTAAAATAAAGCTTATGATAAGAGAGACATGAGTATGAATAGTTTAGTTGATCAACAATTATGCAGTAAAAATATACGTATAGTATCGGTTCACAAATGGATCCCCAGGATTACCGCTCATTATTCTTATCGGGGCATAACAAAACATCAACAAGAATGAATAAGCTTTGTATGAAGTCGACAATATATTTTTTTATAATAGGTGTAATTTGCAAGAAATATAAACTTTCGTCTGGTTATTTATTTATTATGTTTCATTATGATGTAACTTCATAGTTCATAACAACTGTTGAAACAAGATTTGAAATTTTGAGTTGATGTTTCAACGGTATTTGCTGATATCACTTTTTATCTAAATAAAGAAGACATATTCACGGAACCTAAAATAATGTGGATTTGAACTTTTAGCTCGAATCATTGTTTCACTTTATTGAAAGTATATTTTCATTAAACTTCTATATAATATGGCTGGATAATATAATAGATTTAAAGGTAATGATGTGTTGTTCTTGATCAGCTTTGTCTCAGTTAACAGCCATTCTCATTAAAGTTAATCAAATCACTATTCAAATATTAACTCACTGATCACTTCAGATAGTGATTCTACTATACTATAAACAGATTATAATTATCAATATAGATTCCAATTAAGTAGCTCTGTATTGTTAAACTCGTTTTAAAATCTGATTGTCTTGATTTTAATTTCATCTGTGGTGTTGACAGAATACTTTTTAATAGTCTCTAAATAAGAACAAAACAACTATTCAAGAGTATCTGGTTTTCAACTGTTCTCTGGCTGATAATCTTTCAGAGTGAAATTTATTCTGAAGAAATATCGTAACTATGATAATTAACCAACGAATCAAAACTAAGCGATGTGCATCAGTTACTTATATCATTCATACACAACATCGGCGAGTCTATAATTTATGAACGAACAAATCAGGTATAAGATAACAAGTCTCGGATTTTGACTCGAAATTCACTCATTCATTTAGCTGAATTGAGTTTTGGCATTATAGTTGATGTCAGTTCATTATGAAAACCTTAAATCTAATCATCAATTGTAAATCATAATTTTTGATTCCTCACACAGGTTTATAACCCTCATGTACTCCTAGTTATTAAGTGAATACTCTCAAGATCAGTCTAGAGTCACTCAGATGTCTTCCATAAATTGTAGTCTCACTTAAAACATCTATTACTTTTGTAAAATTACACATTCAAAACAGAACTTCATTATTACAATAAGTTATACTTCTTAACAAATAAATTTTTAATGTACTATCGTATAGTTTGCAAAACAATTCTAAATGACTATTAAACATAGAAAAACATTTTTCAAAACTGTTGACTGATATATTTTATATCAGAATTGTTTTTGTGGATAGTATAGTAATTTCAATGGTTAAGATCATCAGCCAATTGAAACTAGACCATCATAAAAACCCTGGAAGAACTGAACGACCGTTTCGTCCTATTGTAGGACTCCTCATCAATGCGTATTCACAATCCTGCCTCGCGAGATTTGAACCCTAGCACCTATTAGTCCCGCGCGCGAGCGCTTAACCGCTGGACCACTGGGATGACCAGCATCCAATGGTGTTAATACCTAACCTCAACCAATCCACGAAGTCGCGCGACCATCTTCCATTGTACTGAGGTAGACACCTGTTTCTACCCAACATGGATTAGCTCCACTGGTCATGGCTTCTCATCAGAACTCCAAGAATTTTCTCACGAACTAGTCACTAGTGAGCACATGTTAATTATCAGCTTAGGGGTTGTGGAGATTGTTAAGTTTTTGATTGAGATCATGAACCGATTGATATTAGACCACCATTGAAAACCTGAAAGCACTGGACGGCCGTTTCGTCCTATGGTGGAACTCCCCAGCAGTGCTCATCCACGATCCCGCCCGCGGGATTCGAACCCAGGGCCTTCAGTCTCGTGCGCGAACACTTAACCTATTGGACCATTGAGCCGACATCCAATGGTGTCAATATCTAACTTAAACCAATCCATGAAATTGAACAACACATCCATCATCGTCTTCA